GCCTATAGATGCTGGAGAGGATGTGGAGAAACGGGAACCCTCTTGCACTGTTGGTGGGAATGCAAACTGGTGCAGCTGCTCTGGAAAACAGTGTGGAGGTTCCTCAAAAAATTAAAAATAGAACTACCCTATGACCCAGCAATAGCTCTGCTAAGAATTTACCCAAGGATACAGGAGTGCTGATGCATAGGGGCACTTGTACCCCAATGTTTATAGCAGCACTCTCAACAATAGCCAAATTATGGAAAGAGCCTAAATGTCCATCAACTGACGAATGGATAAAGAAATTGTAGTTTATATACTACGTGGCAAGAGAAGGAATGAAATATGGCCTTTTGTAGCAATGTGGATACAATTGGAGAGTGTTATGCTGAGTGAAATAAGTCAAATAGAGAAAGACAGATACCATATGTTTTCACTCTTATGTGGATCCTGTGAAACTTAAAGGTTAGAGAGGGAGGGAGCCAAATCATAAGAGACTCTTAAAAACTGAGAACAAACTGAGGACTGATGGGGGGTGGGAGGGAGGGGAGGTGGGTGATGGGTATTGAAGAGGGTACCTGTTGGGATGAGCACTGGGTGTTGTATGGAAACCAATTTGACAATAAATTTCATATTAAAAAAAATCTCTCTGTAGTTCGGGGAGCAATAAATAGAAAGATGGTCAACTAATACAAATAGAAGTGTGGTCAATGATCTATTTGGTATGATTTAATTGCCAATAATTTTTTTTAATGTTTATTCATTTTTGAAAGACAGAGAGTGCAAGCAGGGGTGGAACAGAGACAGAGGGGGACACAGAATCCAAAGCAGGCTCCAGGCTCTGAGTTGTCATCACAGAGCCCGATGAGGGGTTCAAACTCACAAGCTGTGAGATCATGACCTGAGTTGAAGTCGGACAATTAACCAACTGAACCACCCAGGCTCCCCTAATCGCCAATTTTCTTTTCTAGTCCTACCTGTCACTAATTTTTTATCAACCCTAAGTGCCAAATATTTACTGTATACCAGGCTTTACTGTTTCAAATTTTCCAATATGCTTGTCCTTTGTCTAGTTGTTTCCTTCTTCACCTTACTCTAATATTAATCCATCAATTCAAATTGAAGGTCCAATTCGCGTTTATCCTCCTTTAATTTTCCCCACTGAGAACACTATTGAATCATTCATTTGTATTACAGCTATTTGTACATATCTTATTTCCTTGTAAGATTCTTGAAGGCAAGTATGTGTTATTCGTATTTGTATTTTCCACAGTGTCAATTTCCCAGTAGAATTTGAGTTCTATTAAACAGGGCTCTCACACATCTTGGTCATCATTGTATGTCTTGGCATTGAGCATAATTCCTGGCACATAGCAAGCATATTATAAGTGTATTTTGAGTGAGTGTATGTAAGGATTTTAAAACATAATCTCCATCAAGGTTATCTCCATAATCTCCAAGGATTTGTCATTTTATTCATTGCAAAATGAATATGTTAATATTACCAGGTGAACACATGCTTATTTGGAAGTATCAGTATTCATCATATACAATAAAAGTTCTTCAATCTCTATATCTTCACAGAAGTCAAATATAAAGTGTTTGTTCCTTTTCCCCCAACGAATTCAGTGGATGATGTATCGTTCTGAAAATAAGACATCTCCTAGAAGTGCAAGAGTAAAATGTAAAAGAATGAAAATAAAATGGATGTTTATGTTAAGAGTAGTTTCGGTTTTGTTCCTTGTGCTTTTCTGTGTTCTAAATTTTCTGTAATGAAAAGGTCTTATTTTATAATCAGAAAAAAATAATATTTTTAAAGAGTGTAAAGGATGAGATCATTTGCAAATGTATGGTTGAGGAAACTTTGAGGACATCCAAGTTCAATCAAGGTTATCTGGAGTTAATATCAGAGAGAAAACATTAGAATGTGAAAATTACTTTGACCTGAAATGTAATAAGCCTCTCTTAAAAAACAATACCTCTCAGAGGAGAGATGAATGGCACCAACCCTAGGAAAAGACAAAGACATCATCGAACAAGAACTTATAGTGATTTCTTAGCAGTGCCTTGGAAGTATGACACCTTTGCTGTGGACTGTTTTCCGCCCAGATTCATATGTTGAAGGCTTAACCCCCAATGTGATGCTATGTGGAGATGGGCTTTTGGAGGTAATTACATTTAAATGAGGTCATGAGGAAAGAAAAGACACCAGAGAGCTTACATACTCCCCCTCCCCCAACCCATTCTCATCTCTTTCCCTATCACATGATGACACAGCAAAAAGGAGGCCATAAATGAGGTAGGAAGAGAGCCCTTGGCAGAACCTGATCATGATAGCACCCTCATGTTGGAATTCCATCCTTCAGAACTATGAGAAAATGTCTGTTGTTTAAGTCACTCAGTCTATGGTACTTTGTTATAGCTGCCCAAGCAGAATAAAACAGATCAAGAAGACTAAGATCGGAACTGTTATGTGGCAGGTAGTTTTCCTTTCTCTCTCTCTCTTTTTTTTTTTTTTTTTAGAGAGGGAGAGAGCATGACGGGGAGTAGAAAGGGAAAGGGAGAGAGAGAGAGAGAGAGAGAGAGAGAGAGAGAGAGAGAGAGAGAATCTTAAACAGGCTCCACGCTCAGCACTCAACATGAAGCCTGGTGGGGGCTCGATCCCACAACCCTGGGATCATGACTGGAGCTGAATTCAAGAGTTGAAAGCTCAATTGAGCCACCCAGGCACCCCTGGCAGGTAGTTTTCTATATTGGAATAGGATCTCCTCAGTGATTCAGTCGATGAAAGTTTATTAAATGCCTACTGTGTTTCATGCCCTGTGCAAAGTACTGCGGATCCAAAGATGACCAAGACAAAGCTCCCACCCCTAAGGAGCTCATGTAATAGGAAACAAGCATGTAAACAAACTGAAAAAAGATTATAAATGCTTTGACAGAAGTATGTATGGGGTACTTACATCCTTTTTTCAGGAACTCAGAGGTCAGGGTAATTGTTTCTATCTGTGTTGGGGTGGTGTAAGTTTGGTTGGCCGGAGTCAACACTCTGTATCTAGTTAACTCTGAGTTCAACCAAGTCAATAGCTGTGACTCATGATGTGGTGATAAGCCTGAGACTTCAGTTACAAACCCTGCATAGGCCCATACTGGACAGTTATAGGCACTTAGATAGTGGCTGCCCATCAAGGAGAGGGAGGACAGAACCTGTTTTATGCCCTCCAAAATGGTATAGGCTATTGCTAGTGGACAAATGGCCTCTTGCACCATTTCTGTACTGTGAATTTCCACTTCCAATTCTTCTTTGGAGCCTTGAATATTTATAACAACATTCTCATTTACTTATACTAATTGTATTTTGTATACGTTAACAAGCATTCAAAGCTGTTACTGGAGAAAAACTACTGGAGAACATGGGACCTAGCACTAACTGCAGCACCCTTTTGCCTCACATGCCTTTTGCTGTCTATGTTCTAAGCATCCTCCATATCCTAGCCCAGGCCTTACTTTGTCTGGGAGCTGTGCCTGAACTGTACCACCCCTGGATTGTGTGGGTGCTCCTGTTATGAGCCCCCCAGGACTCCTGTATTTTCTGCATCATAGCACATATCATATTGCTTTGAAATCTCTTATTTAATTGTCTACTAGACTGTCAGATCCTTAAGGACAGGAGCAATAATAGTTTTGATGATGTCCCTAGGTCATCAAAGCCTTCCACTAAGTATTTATTGAAGGAATCTAGTTTCAGAGCCTGCAAAAGTAGAGGAACAGATGAGCATTAAGTTTATGTTGCTACCACCAAGGTGCATCTAACCAATGAAGTTCAGTTTGAAATATTTATCTGAATTTCGGCATAAATTAATCCAATCCAAATAAAGAGCAAAAACTAGAAGGAAACACAGTTCCATAAAGTAACCAAAGTCAGGCTGATATAAAAATTGAAGCTATTGTGGCTTCATATTATGTTAGCTTAATAAAAATTAAGTTGGTTTTGAACAGGGGTGAAAGTCATGGAGAAAGGGTCTGGAACAGTAGTCTAAGGACAAGAGAGGAATGGATAGGCTTTATGCAGATCAGCTTGGTAGGATCAGAATATTTGTAATCTATTCATTTAACACAATCTATTCCTTTAATAAGAAAGGGCTGAATCAGGGCACTCCTTAAGGCAAACTCAGATGGGCCACTAAAATGGGAGACTCTATGTTGCCACCTAGGAGACAGGATAATGTCTGTCTAGGTGCATAGCTGCAAGAGGAAGAGCCAATGAAGATACTCTGCATACTTGAAATTTTGGTGGGACCAATCAGTTACAATACTACACAGAATGTTAGCAAGAGAGGTAGAAATGGAGTAGAGGCAGATTGGCACAGAAAGTGGGGGTAAAACTGATGGGGAATTGCATAAAGTGGGGGTAGAAATTAATGGGGGATTGCATTATGGTATTTAAAAATAAAAAAGAGAAGAGGAGCCAAAAATATGTCAAGGCATGAAAGGTCAGGTGACTATGAATCATGAAATTGTGACAGTTACAGTAAGTTAGAACAAGCTGTTGGCTAATAGAATAGGATACTGCACTTGATGTTTTCCATGTTAATCTTAAATTGTGGTAGTACATTTTAGTGTATATGTCCCTAAACAAATTAAGATATATGATGAAGACTTATTTAAAAAAAAAAAAAAAAAGGTCGAGAAATCAGGTTGGAGTTGTAGAATATTACCATACAAATGGAAAGGATAATGGCTGAAAATGGTCTTTAAAGAAATAGCCACACTTTTGTTTCTATTACATTTAAGGTTTAAACATGACATATCTCAATATCCATCTAGATAAAGTAGCCTCTGGCAGTTGATAAAATTAGCTTCTGGTAGCAGCTTTCTAATCATTATATTCAGCATTCTCTCTCTTCACCTCTAAACTTGTACAGAAGTCTCTTCCTGAACTTCTTCATTTTTATTTTGATGTTCAGCTTTCTGGAGAAGCCTGGGGCCCAGCAAACCAATGAGCAGACTGCCAATTGGGGCTGTGATGAGGATGGACAAAAATGCCACTGTCAACACATCCATTCCATATTCTTCCAATTGTTTCTCTCCATGTGATCTTGCTGTGTCCAAAGCCACAGATCCTATGGCAGCCTATACAAGTTTAAAGGTAACATTGTAAACATAAGACAAGCACACAGAAAAAAGGTGAATTATTTTCTCATTTGCAAAAACAAATGGCTTATTCTCTTGCTCAACTAAGAAAATTCTTAGTCTTCCTTCAAAGCATACTGCAGTTAGTTTTGTCTGAAAACTCTCCCTGTCCTTGCTTGGGGAAAGAATAGTGATTCATATGTACCTATTTGCATAACGTAGGGTTACAAAAAGTATCAGGCAAATATATTTCAAAACAAAAGGCAAATGCAGACTCACAATATTAATTAACTATAACATGATCTTATATACTAACTTCCTCCTGAGTAAAGCTGAATGTTACTGGTCATCTCATTCTTTTATGTTTAGAATTCTGAATTAAGAAAAAAAGCAAGATGAAAAAATGCAGTGATACTGGAAGATGGTGAAGTTTTAAATAACAACAATAATAATAAAAGCCCGTGTTGTATGTAAGCGATGAATCACGGAATCTACCCCCAAAACCAAGAGCACACTGTATACACTGTATGTTAGTCAATTTGACAATAAATTATATAAAAAAATTTAAACAACAAACAAAAGAATATGTTTTGCTTTAGAGCCTAATTATTAAACATCATGAAACTTGAAAATGTTAGCCACCTTCAAAACTTGAAATTAATGTTATTCAGTATTTAGTTAATTTTTGCCTTGGGAGTTGGTAAAATGTCTTATTTAAGATTTGGCTTTTGAAAAGCCTTACACAATTTTTGTTTCCTTTTTTACAGGCAAAATGCAGTATTATCAGTGCACATGGCAAAATAATATATTAAATGATCTGGTTATTCCCTTATTCCACAGAACACAACAATGTTAGCCTGGAGGCTAATCAAATAGAAGAGAAAATATCAGTGTGCATAAGAGACATGGTAGAGACTACTAATTGCCCGCAAATATCTGAATGCCCCTTTCTCCTTCTATAATGAAACTCTTGAGTTTCAGCTGGTCAATTACCGTACAAATAGACTTTTTTCAGCCTTTTTTACAACTAGATGAGGCTATGTTTCTAAGTTCTGGCCACTGAGAGGCAAGCAGAAGTGATAAATGCTATTAGTAGACTGCTCTCTAGGTGGACTCACGGATGGAAGGCACACGCTGAGGGTAGTAGCCACCCTGCCAGCTCTGGAATGCCCAGATAATTTATTTGAAGGTTCTTGGTTATTGCAGTTTACCTTGTACCATAACTAATACAACATTTCAAGAATTCCTGAGAAGATTTGCACATACTACGATGTGTAGTTTTCAATTTTCTGTTGTGTGTGTGAGTATGCATGTGTGTTTTGGGGCTTGTACATATGCTGAGTTGTGATTTAAAATATATTTCTTATAGTATACATGAGCAAAAAAGTTTGAAAAACACTAATGTAGAAAAAACATACAAGACAGTTTTGGTTCTTGTGCAGTGGCAAGAGGAGAAAAAATTTTTTATACAATACTTACTTCACAGAACATACATTATTCAACAGGTTCTGGATAATGTTTCCTTATTTTAAAATTGGCTTTGAAAGCAGGAAAGTGTCATTTTCCAAATGCTAATGTTTAGAAACAAATCTTTCATACCAAAGCTACTAGAGTGATTATTTGCTATTTACCCACTAAAGTTACCAGAGGTAGTGAGGAAGCTGAAGACACTCTGAGGGAGAAACTATTTCACTTACTGTACTATTAACCTCACAGTATTCTTATCCATTATGTCTCAGACGTCTTTGAAAGTCTGATGGAAATGAAAACTTCTCTGGAATAATGCCGAAGCTCACAGCCACACAAAATCTGGCATAGTTACAGAGCATACATATCCCCAAAAGCTTCCTAAATTAAGAACATCTGATTTTCATTTCATGAAACAGAAATGTGCATATTTAAACAACTGCAAAATAATCAGAGAAGAGACAGTTAAATCTTGTTTGCTATGTTTAGTTTGAAAATATAGAACATAATCAGAAATATATTACATTTGCAACAAATAATAATCTACACAGTTGTAATTTAATTAGTAATTAAATTCTATCAAATACGTGGTCAGTAATTTCAAGCACCTATTTGTTCATGCCTTGCTCATGAGAGTGCACAGTTTTGGGGTCATGTGATTGATACATTTGACAGGAGGTTCGGCTAGTTTGAAAATTTTAATATCAACCAATAATCTAGGAAGGCAATAAAGCATTTTCCTAATTGTTTTTAATAAATCTGTCTCCTTTATATATAAAAACTGTGGTCAAGCATAACTGATCATTAGTCATACGGACACTGAAGTATTTCCAAATACTAAGATGGGCCATGCTATTTCTGTTTCACTCTCTTCTTGGAAGATATTGAAATGCAAAGTTGTCAAAAGATTGACAACTATCTTTCTGGGTGATTTAGAGAACTCTGACTGATAAAAATTCAAACACTTTCTTCCTGTGACTACTACTTTCTGCTTAGTGTAGGGATATATTGGATTTTTAGTTGATTTAAGTAAATCTGGTGATCTAGATAAATTTAAATGAGCCATCATATTTAGGAAATCAATATACTCAAAATAAAACTTTTAAACAGTAGATTAGTATAAACCTTTTTTGTAAATCAGTCTTCAATTACATTTTTTCACCAAATTTGAATTAGCCCTCTTATTCAAAAGTTCAAGATACCATATATAAATAGGAGTTAAGATGCTAAGCCATCCTATCCATTATTACCTGGACTGTGGCCTTCGGAAGCCATGCAAAAGAAATAAATATCTTTTCCTTTATGTTAAAACCAGCAAAACACACCATCAGAAATGTAGTTAAAACTCGTATCAATACTGCAGTGCCGAGGATGGCAATACAAAGGCCTGTAAGAAATACTTAATTTTTAGATGTAATGAAATACTGAGGGAGAAAATGAAACTCATGGTTATTGATTCAAAATACTATCAACTGTAATTGTCTAAATATATTAAAAAATTAAAAAGACAAAGATGATTAGGCATAATTTATCAAAACATCAACATTAAGGATCAAACCACATGTTTGAAAGAAGTTATTTTTCCTAGATTAAACCAGAAATTAATTAAATATATTTGATATATGGATGAACTAGAGGGTATTATGCTAAACAAAATTAGTCAGTCAGAGAAAGACAAGTATCATATGACTTCATTCATATGAGGAATTTAAGATACAAAACAGATGAACATAAGGGAAGGGAAGCAAAAATAATATAAAAACCAGGAGGGGGACAAAACCCAACAGACTCTTTTTTTTTTTTTTCAACGTTTATTTATTTTTGGGACGGAGAGAGACAGAGCATGAACAGGGGAGGGGCAGAGAGAGAGAGGGAGACACAGAATCGGAAACAGGCTCCAGGCTCCGGGCCATCAGCCCAGAGCCTGACGCGGGGCTGGAACTCCCGGACCGCGAGATCGTGACCTGGCTGAAGTCGGACGCTTAACCGACTGCGCCACCCAGGCGCCCCAAACAGACTCTTAAATACAGAGAACAAACCGAGGGTTGCTGGTGGGGTTGTGGGTGGAGGGATGGGCTAAATGGGTAAGGGGCATTAAGGAAGACACTTGTTGGGATGAGCATCGGGTGTTATACATAGGGGATGAATCACTGGTACCTACTCCTGAAATCATATAGTGCCCCTATTGCACTATATGCTAACTAACTTGGATGTAAATTAAAAAATAAATAAATTAAAAAAAAATTTAATAAAAGAAAGAAAAAGGTTGAGCACAAATTCTCCATAGCAAAAAAAAAAAAAAAAAAAAAAAAAAAAGAGAGAGAGAGAGAGGGAGAGAGAGATTTGATATATATTACAAAGGAGATTTGAATGTTATTTCTTTTAAGCTGTATAGCAAGAACCACACTTTCTTCCATGTGTTTATTCAACAAGAATTCATTAAATGATAACTATGCATGACAGGATTTGGACTACGTATTGTGTATACAAAAATGCATAATGTGCAGACTTTGCCTCTACGAAATTCAAAGTCAGAGGAGAACAGAAGCATAAACAGCTAATTAATACGCTATAAGGTAAGGGCAATATAAACATACTGGTAAGAGGTCATAGAGGAGGAAAACATTAATGTCTTCATCAAAATGGCTGAGAACTATTTACAGAGTATAAACCAGAGGTGACATTAAAGATACTTATCAGCCAGTATGGAAGCAATTAGCCAATCAGAACAGGGCTGGCTGGGCACTGACCTATCAGAATAGACACTGGCAGCCTACATCTGTTTCACCATATTGGTGTATACACTGACTGCCCATTAGCCCTGGTTAACGTGCACAGATACTTCATTCAGTCCTTCAGAATCCTTTGCTCAGAGATAAGTTCATCCTGATTTGCAAAACAAGAACTGTGACTAGGGCTGCTACAGGCTACTGAACCTGAGAAAGGTGCTAACCTGAGCTAAGGTGACTGCTAAGAGGGTGATTTTCTAAAAAGTAACATTTGTTGAGTGTTTACTGTGTGCTAGGTTCTGCATTCAGCTTTAAGTGCACTCATTACTTAATCCTTACAACCTGTGGGGAAATGTTTCTTATTTTACAGTTGAAAAAAAAAATGAAGTTTAGAAAGGATCAATGACTTTCTCAAGTTCAAAGGTTAGTAAAACACCAGACAGACATTGCTGGATGATCTACTGTGAATCTGCAATATGGCTTCTTTACAAAAAAGTGTTGTGGTTCTTTATAGAAGGACATTGCTCTTATCATCATTTGTTGCAAATCAGGTTGGTAGGGTTCAAAAGTACTTGTTGCCTGAAGTACAAGAAACCAAAGGGATGATTTGGTTCATTTCCAGGAGGAAACATTGAAGGTTTGGGGAAAAGATGATTTAGAAGTTTTGAACATAGTGACTTGGAAGTTTTGTGAGACTTACAAGTGGTGATTTCCAATCAGCAATTAGATACACTGATTTAGAGATAAAAATTTTGGAATTATATAGTTTATAATCAAAGCTACTGAATATAGATGAGCCCATAAAAATGACATAGAGTGAGAAGCACAGAATGCTTTGGAAGAACTTGGATGAAGAGTAGAATTTAAGCCATATACAGTGTAAGTGAGGACTCAAAGGGCATTGAAAAATATGAAGTTTCAGAATTCAATGTAAAATGTATTTTAAAGAGGTCAATAGCATCAAATGCTGCTGAACGATCACGTAAAAAAAAAAAAAGACTGATAAGTATTCAGTATATTTAGCAATATAACCTTGTGAGAGCAGGGATGGTTGTACGATGGGTGAAAGCTGGGCAGAGATGTTTTGAAGAACAGAGTGAGAGTTGAAATGGAAAAAGGAGATACAGTTACCTTTTGGAAAAGTTTGAAAAGAGGAATAAAGAAGAAGCATGGTAGATGGGGGGGAAGTGAAATGAAGAAAGGAAATTTTATGTATTTACATATTTATATATAAATATAAATTGTGGTAAAATGCACGTAACAAATTTGCCATCACAACCATTTTTTTATTAAGATTTTTTTTTTAATGTTTATTTTTGAGAGAGTAAGAGAGTGCGAGAGGGGGAGGGGCAGAGAGAGGGAGACACAGAATCTGAAGCAGGCTCCAGGCTCTGAGCTGTCAGCACAGAGTTGGAAGTGGGGCTCGAACTCAAGACCTGAGCTGAAGTCGGATGCTTAACTGACGGAGCCACCCAAGAGCCCCCGCATCGTAACCATTTTTAAGTGTACAAGGTAAGTAGCATTAAGTTAAACATTCACATTTTTGTGCAACAAATCTTCAGAATTATTTCATCTTGCGTATTGACCTATTTAACACTTCATTTCTCCCTCCCCCAAGTCCTTGGCACCAGTCTACTTTCTGTTTCTGTAGTCTACTGCGGATGCCTCATACAGGTGGAATCACACAGTATTTGTCCTCTGGGTTCATCCATGTTGTAGTATGTATTGGAATGGAAAGACACTGAGATAGGAGAGATTAGAGTTCGTTTAAATCCTGAAGAGGAAAGAACTGTGACATGGATATTTGAAGATATATGAGAAAAGGGGAAGAATCGATGTGTGAGATCCAGAAGAAAGTAGCAGGGACATGGGATTCCTAGTAAAGATGAAAGAATATGGAATGAGCAGAAAGAAGAAATAGTGTGTACATGTGCACCAATAAATTTTTAAATGTAGTGTTATGAATAAAAAGTTTTAATATGATGGCTTTCGAATATATGAATAAATAAATGAATGAATGCTCGAATGGACATTTCTGCTCCATGGGTGTATATTATAGAACTGAGTAGTTATCTTTGCAATTCTGGCCCTTGATAAGAACAAGTCTAACTGAACATTTTTATCCTTAGAAAAAACTTTTAAGACCTGCATTTTCTAGATAGTAGTTAGCAGTGTTACTTTTCTTTACAAAGAATAATATTAAAGGTATAAAATTTATGCCTTAGATTGACAAAGATTACTTTCTAGCCAACTCCTGGAAGAGACTTAGATCATTATTAACTTTTTATATAATTGTGACAATAAATTTACCTAATAAAGGTATTCCACTGAATATAAAAGTTGATTGTAACAAAAGTACTACTTTGAAATTCTTTTTTTTTTTTAATTTTTTTTCCACGTTTTTATTTATTTTTGGGACAGAGAGAGACAGAGCACGAACGGGGGAGGGGCAGAGAGAGAGGGAGACACAGAATCGGAAACAGGCTCCAGGCTCCGAGCCATCAGCCCAGAGCCTGACGCAGGGCTCGAACTCACGGTCCGCGAGATCGTGACCTGGCTGAAGTCGGACGCTTAACCAACTGCACCACCCAGGCGCCCCTAGAAATTCTTACCTACAGTTTCTGGTCTGAGAGATGCAATAGATACTTCTGCTCCAATCAGTCCAAACAGAAGGGGCTGAAAGATGTACCAGGCAACTGCAATAATTTTTTCAACATCTGCCTAAAAGAAACACACCCACACACAGATTTTTATTACATGAAGTTACAAGTTCTAAGAATTTTACTAATTTGAAATTTGAGTCAATTTGACCTGAGATAGGCTTTATTTCTGTGACATCTTTTTTTCTTTTAATGTTTATTTATTTTTGAGAGAGAGAGTGCAAGCAGGGGAGGGGTACAGAGAGAGAGGTAGACACAGAATCCCAAGTAGGCTCAAGGCTCCAAGGTGTCAGCACAGATCCCGATGTGGGGCTCGAACCCACAAACTGTGCAATTGTGACCTGAGCCAAAGTCGGATGCTCACCGACTGAGCCACCCAGGTGTCCCTATTTCTGTGATACCTATAATTAAGAGGTTAGCTAAAAAAGAACAAAAAACTGCATAAAGATATTTCTAACACAGTTATTATATGAGGTGCTTTAGAGTTGGTTTGCAAGTGGATGTTAATTATAAAAAGTCTAATAAAATAATCTTAGGGGGGTTTCTACTTCTGAATATATGATATGTGTATATGTACAAATGTAATACCTAGTATTTTATAGTTAAAATGTTATGTTAATCTTCATTTGACAATATGATTTTGAGATCTTATAATAGTAGCACATATATCTAGATACACATCTCATTATTGTTATACAGTAATCTATAGTATCGTAGTACCATAGTTTATTCAATAATTTCTTTATGGATGGCCCCTTGTTTCCCATTTTATTTTATCTTTATAGAAAACATCATTTAAGGTTGTCTCAAATCATGCACAGAAATATAACTCAGGTCTAGTAAAATGCTGTGCCAGTTGTTAATTTTTTACCCCTTGGTTCCAAATCCACATTTCATTGTTGCTCTGCAGAAAATTAAGCTAAGCCTTTAAATATTTCTCTTTTGCCAGCTGGCATCATATTAAATTTTGTCAGTAGAGAGTGCTGAAGAGATATTGCAAGGAAGATACTCTCCTTCCTGATTTCTGGGGCTCCTCCCAGCAGGATCCTATAGCACACTTGGGTTTCTTCAGCACCCAGGTATCTTCTCCAGTGCTGGGCTTCTATAGTGCATGGCAGCCAGCAGCACCCAGTGGCCAGCAGCAGCTCCTAGCTTACTGCAAGGGAGTTTCATAGCCTATTCCCTTGGGCAAAATACCTCCCTATGCACGCTAGAAGGTGAATTTGGAGTATAGATTTCCAGCAAATTGTCCAAGCAGGGCACCATGGCTGCCTTCTCCACCATCCAGGGAATAAAGGCTTTCTAACATGATCTGGATTCTGAGCCCTGGGGGTGGGAGAAGGTGGGATGGAGTGGGGAGGTCTTAGGAGATGCTCAGTCTGAGCGCTAGGGGTTTATAGCTTATTCCTATATTCTTCAGGGGTCCTTTACATCTTACAAGCCAATCTCTTGTTATCTGATCCCCTGGTATGGTTAATAATTAACTTTCCCTATTCCAGTTATCATGTGATTTCCCTTGCCTGATAAGATCCTAACTGATAAAAGCACTAACTTTATAACACATACTGCCAAAATCCTAAAAGAAGATGAGCACAACTGACTATACCAAGGCTAGAATGTTTTGTGGCAACAGAAACCACACACAAACAAAGAACAAAAAGATGACAAACCAGGAGAAAATATTTGTACTGTGCATAACAGAATAAGGAGCAAAATCTAAGCAATAAGAAAAAGAAAGTAAAAGAAAAAAATGGGCAATGTATATATACAAGTAATTCATAGCTGAAGAAACACAAATGGCCAAAAACATAAGATGTTAAAATTCAGTAATCAGTGAGACACAAATTAAAATGATATGTCACATTTGAGGAGGCATTACATTACAAAAACTACTAAAAAGTTTTAATAATGTCAAGTATCTGTGATTATAAGGAAACTCTCACTAATTGGTAGGAGAACAAATTGATAGTGCTTTTTTTTAGAGGGCAATTTAGCAGTACCCATCATAGTATCTAAAAATTTGTATTGAACAGATTTTTCCAGTCAACTAATAAGAATCTATTTTTAAACAACACTTTTACACTTATAACTACACACCTTTGAGGATCTGGTTTTCTATATCTATATTCAGCAGTTTAACAAAGGAAGATTACATTGTGTCTCTGTTTTCTTTATTTTTAAACAAATTCTGGTATGTTTATTAGGGTGAAGATTCTGTTTCCTCTTGGCTTACAAAAGAGCTCATGTGTGAGGGGGCTGGTTGATTTACTTATACAGTTCTATTCCTACATCATGCAAAGAGTTATGTTTTCATATCATAAGGAATCAGATAATAACTTAGGGTCAAATACTGCCACCTGCTAAATGCAAGCCACTTGTCCCTCAGTGCCTTATTTTCTTCTCATCTGTAAAATGGGAAGTTTATACAACATCCAAGATCATTTATCATTTAATGACAATTAAATTGTCCTACCAAAACTGGAGTCCAGTTGCCCACCTTTCTACCTATCTTTAAATTTTACTTTTTAATTTAGTTTTTAGAGTATATCATAGGTATAGCTCAGACTTTAGTTGCTATCCACATTAGTGCAGAACAAAAATCAACTCTATTAATCTTAGGTTACTTAGTCTTTTGTTACCATGACTAATTATTTAAGGGAAGGCCTCAAAAATATTTAATGTACTCAGAACTCCAATGAAAGCAGATGGCCTAAAAAGCTTTCTCCATCCAATTATTTTCATTTCTAAACTGTAGACAAAGGCCACCGTTTGTTTTTTTGATTGTAATGCTTTAGACTAGTTGAACATCAGACATAGGTTTATATATTGTAAGACTTAAAAATGGTAGAAGAGCCAAAATGTACCCTCTTAATGCTTTTTCATAACTTCAAAATGAATGTGCTTATAAAGAAAATGGAGGGGCGCCTGGGTGGCGCAGTCGGTTAAGCGTCCGGCTTCAGCCAGGTCATGATCTCGCGGTCCGTGAGTTCGAGCCCCGCGTCAGGCTCTGGGCTGATGGCTCAGAGCCTGGAGCCTGTTTCCGATTCTGTGTCTCCCTCTCTCTCTGCCCCTCCCCCATTCATGCTCTGTCTCTCTCTGTCCCAAAAATAAATAAATGTTGAAAAAAAAAAAAAAAGAAAATGGAGTCATCGAATAGGCTAAGTGTAAAAGAGAGCAGAGGAATGAAAACTACGTTGTCCACACTAAATGTTTAAGGCTACTTTATACATCTGTTTGTAGCAGTAGCAAGAATCTTCAAAAACATAAATCACTTTCAAGGATGGACAAAGGAAGAAAATGAGCAGAAATGGAAGTTTTACCATGACTTAAATACCTACGTAAGCTGATACCTCCCTTCTCAGAAAGAGTATTTCAAGATTCAGAAAATTCAAAATATGTCAGAAAAACCATCCCATAGCTACAAAGGTCTTCAGAAGAAGCACTGGATTTGAAAATAGATGAAAAAAAAATGACAGAGGCTGTAAAAAGGTGAGTGTATTTGAATACAATAAATGGCAAGATTAATGATATATGGAAAAACCAAGTAAAGAAGTATGAAATAATGTCAGAAAACTATAGCATAAACAAAGTTTTATAACATATTTTAGCTTTTCAAATTATAACTCAAAACTAGCCTTGATATAGCACTGTTGAGTTTACAATTGTTTCATATCTGTTTTCCTACATAGTGTCACTATTCTTTTGATATTATTATTATTTTCTTCCTATTACAGTTTGAGAAAACAGAGTAATAGAGAAGGCATGTAAGTTTGGGGGGATTATACAGCTACAGAGCAGTAGAATTGGGATTGGAATCCCAATTACTTTATCTTAAATTTTAAGCTCTTTTTATTGTATTGTTCTACAAAGTAATTACAAAATAATAAGGATTATATTATTATTTACTGAGTGTATTCTACAGCTAAGGATTTAGCTTTGTATAGAGTATAATGGTTAAAAAAAAGTGTGTGTGTGTGTGTGTGTGTGTGTGTGTGTGTGTGTGTAAGGTAAAGAGATCCATATATGAGAGTTACCAGAGGTACATATGAAAAAAGTGTTCCTAGTTCTTCCACTGGGTTGTAGGATTACATGGACCTATGTTCAGCTGGGTTGAAGGCAATTCAGGCAAAATTATGACAAACGCAGACTAGCAGATGCTGTGTTTTGGTTTATAATGATCTTTTCTCTATAATCTCCAGTTTTTGAGAAGAGTGGTATAACTGGAACTGGTCAAAGTTTCCCTTGCCTTGCTGTGTCTTTCTGTGCCCATAGCTAATGCCCACTTGCAACAGGCACTAATCTCCCCTTTGATTTCCCTGTTGCTAAAACTACTCTTATATGTTCCATTCCAAATGATATGGCCCCTTTCATTGTTTATTTTTTATCCTATCACTTAGGGATTTAGAGACTTAATTTTGAAGTGCAAAGTGTAGAAATATAATGTTTCTAAGGTACTTGGTATGTGTTATTCAAATAGATGTCAAAAGTATAAAAATGTGCCCTGAACAACAATGCTACAGTTGTATCACAGAGTAGTAACTCTGGTGTCAGGTAAACCTGAGCTTAAATCACAGTGCCATTTTCTAATTTTGTGATTTTGGACATGTTATTTATGTCTTTCTGATTTATAGTCTCTATAAAATAGAAATGGTAATACTTTTTAAAGTTTATTTTGTGTGTGTGAAAATAAATGAGAACATCCACTTAGTGCCCAGCATACAGCCATACAGACTGGCCAAAAAAATTTACTAAAAAACAGGCAGAAGACATGAATAGACATTTCTCCAAAGAAGACATACAGATGGCCAACAGACACATGAAAGAATGTTTAGCATCACTCATCATCAGGGAAAAGCAAATCAAAACTACAATGAGATATCACTTCACACGTGTCAGAATGGCTAAAATCAATAATACAAGAAGTTAACAGGGGTCGACGAAGATGTGGAGAAAGAGAAATCCTCTTACACTGTTGGTGGGAATGCAAGTTGGTATAGCCATTGTGGAAAACAGTTTGGAAGTTCCTTGAAAAGTTAGAAGTAGAACTACCTTATGATCCAGCAACTGGACTAGTAAATATTTACCCAAAGAATACAAAAACACTAATTTGATGTTTATAGCAGCATTATATAAAATAGCCAAATTATGGAAACAGCTCCAGTGTCTGTTGATAGATGGCTGAATAAAGAAAATGTAGTATATATACAATGGAATATTACTCAGCCATAAAAAGAATGAAATCTTGCCATTTATAATGACATGGATGGAGCTAGAGTATTATGCTAAGCAAAATCAGTCAGAGAAAGACAAATACCATATGATTTCACTCATATATGAAACTGAAGAAACAAAACAAAAGGAAAAAGGGGGAAAAAAAGAGAGACAGAGACAAACCGAGAAGCAGACTCTTAACTATAGAGAACAAACTGATGGTTACCAGAGGGAGGTGGGTGGTGAGATGGGTAAAAGAAGTGATGGGATTAAGGAGTGCACTTGTGATGAGCACAGGGTGTTATATGGAAGTGTTGAATCACTGTATCATACCCTTGTAACTAATATTATACTGTATGTTAACTAACTTGAATTTAAATGAAAACTTAAAAACATGAAATAATCTAATTATCAAATTAAGATTATAAAAAGAAATATTAAAAAAGAACAAACTATTAGTTCCCTTTCCTCTTTTTACCTGTTACAGTATGAAATAATGAGTTGGCTGTCATTTTCGAAGATTTTTAAGGGGGTGACAACATAAAAACAGTTATCCATAAAGTTCAGTTTGAAAAAGCTTATTATGAGCATTTTTGAGAGTTTTCTTGTTGAATAAGTGAAAGGAAATAAACTAAAATATTTAAATAGTTTACAGAGCTGTTGGCTTTAAATGGAGGAACTGCAAATGATTTCTTTCCTTTTCTTTCAGATTTTCCACCTCCAAAGTTAAAAAGTGAGCATATAGTACCTTCATAAAAGTTAAAATAAAGTTAATTTTATTTTAAAAATTACTGTCTTTGGTAATTTACGTTTTTAATGCTGAAAAAAAGATTACTATTAAGAAGTGAATGGACAATTTGTAAAATGCCAATGCAGGCAAACTTCCCAAGTGTTGGACAAAGAAAAGTGTTGTGCTACATTCACAACGTGAATGTAGCAGCATCTTTCACTAAAGTGAAACTGTGACCTCGGTCCTGGGGCAGAGAATAGATCAGAGCGCTTCAAAGAGTAGGGCACATTTGTCAGCAGCCCTGGGGAGGACCCAAGACAGAGAGCAGTGAATCCACAGAGAGAAGCAAAGGAGGCAGTATAGCCCTCAAGTCCAGAGCGGAGATTAGATAGAAGACTGACCAGTGATAGGTGATAACTCTGCTTCAGCCCACAAGCAAAGTGAAGCCATGGAAAAACAAATGTTTTGATAAGAGCAAATGCTTATGGGAGACAAGGGATGATAAGAGTACCTGATTTATGCTAGGAAGTTTGTTTATTCTGTAGCTCTGCTCTGGTCAAATGTTAGGTTACTTGAAATCAGAAAGTAGAATTGAGTAATATAGGTGTTGCTAGGAAAGAAAAAAGTAGACCTGAAATAAGCCTTGTAGCCAAGAGTCTTGCAAGGCAGCAAACCAAGGGGTGCATCTAGTGCATGGAGCAGAGTTTCAAAGGGACTCTCTACTTTCTTCGAAGCCCAATCCATCTCCATGTACTTTCTGGTGGCTTCAATACCGTTCTCTACACAATGCTCCAGGCTGTCCCTACCATTTGTCTCCTCTGAAGCAAGACAATTCAGTTATACTTGTCTTAACTTTGTAATCATAGATTACATAGTGAGAGCCTCCTATCTGAGTGTTCTTTACTCACAGGGAAATTCTGTCTCTATTCTACCTCTGCAGAGATTCACTCAATTGAATTTGATTATATACCTAACCTCCAGCTTTTTAACCCTCACATATTTTTCCATGTGGCATTATTTTAAGCTTAATTATTTTGAACAGTTGTTTCCAGGTTGTCCAAAATGATATAGCTGCATTTAGGTGGGTCACCTACATCTAATTTCTCCATTAAACAGAATAGCATATGCTGCTGTCAAGTTCAAATTTATAAGGATGTAACTTGAAATTAAAATTAGTAAATAACAACCAGCTAATTTCCATAGTACATATCAAAAAAATCAATAATCTTAATGATCATGAAAATCAATAAGAAAAACCAAAACAACCTTTTAAAAAAATAGGCACAGGCTTTTGAGCAAACCGGTTAGTAAGCACAGGAAAAGATGATTTGCTTCACTCATAAAGAAATGTAATTCAGATCAATAATGAGATACATTTTTAACCTATCAGATTAGCAAAATATCTGAAGATTGAAAATACTCAGATCAGAAAGACAGATCTTCACATACTGTTGGTGAAAATATAAACTGGCGCAGTCTTTTAAAAGGGAAAATTGATATTATCAAAATATCAATGTATATACGCCTTCATAGAGCAATCCTGTTTCTGGAAATTTATCCTATAGATAAACTCAAACATATGTTGTATTTTGTTGATTTTTTTTCACATTTTAAAATTTCTGAAATTAGGATGTCATGTCATAGTTTAATAGGCAGTATTCTTTTTTCTTTCTTGGTAGCATGTAAAATGGTGCTTCTTAGATTTGATAGCATCTTAGAGTTAATGAAATATGGCATAGGTAGGATATTTTACTGAAATACTTTTTGTCTTAGTAGAAAACCAGAAACAATTTAAAATCTGTTATCAGGAGACTGGTTAAATATAGGACAGCTATACCATGCAATACTCTGTAGCCGTAGCCCTTACAAAGAATAGGGAGGCAGCATGGAAAAGGATGTCTGTGTGTACACTTGGGCATACATTTACATATGCATAGAAAATAGCTTTTGTGATTAAATAATTTTATTAATTTTATATTAGGAAACATCTGTAAAGAAAAAAATTTACTCTGATCAGAAAGAACTTAAATGAGAAGAACTTGAAATTCACCTTTTCGCCGGCCCATCTCAAACCTGCAAGGAAGGACATGACCAGTGTGCACAATCCTCCTGACCCAGGGAAACCAAAATACACGCTGCTGAACACAGCTAGTATGGACAGCCCCAAAACAATGAATGCTCTCTTCCACACAAGTTTGTCCTTGAGAAGAAAAAGAAAGGTTGATTAGCTCAATTATTTCCTATAACTGATTTTTAATGATTGCTTTTTCTATATTCAGGACTTAGTGGAAAATGAAAATGTCTGTCTAAGCAAATAAATGCATGCCATGACATTTACTTTCTTTTCCTTAATAAAAGTAGAGTCAACACATGGACAAATGCAGCTTCCTCTTCCAAGAACACTAGTTGTATTCTCCTGCAGTTATCCAAGCAGAATTTCACAGGGCTGAATGTAATAGTAGAAAAAAGTGCATGGGCTTTGGAGCCAGACAGACCAGAGTTAAAATTCTAGCTCTTTTACACTACTGGCATATGTAGTGGTCACATAACTTAGCTTCCTCAGGCTTTTTTTCTTCTCCTCCCTGAAAGCAGTTTTGTCACAGTGTTTTTGTGAAAGTTAAAGATGTGATATCTCTAGTATTTTTGGGCTGGTTACTCCTTAATGCCATGCTCTCCTCATTTTTTTTTTCTAAACATGATTCTCCTTCCGTTTATTTATTCATTTGTTTTGCTTTTAGATTCCACATGTGAGTGAAATTATATGCTCTTTGTCTTTTTCAGTTTGACTTATTTACTAGCATAATACCCTCTGGATCCATCCATGTTATTGCAAATGGCAAGATCACATTCTTTTTTATGGCTGTTCAATGTTCTATTGTATATATATCACACCTTCCTTAGCATTTATCTATTGATGGACACTTAGGTTGCTTCCATATCTTGGCTATTGTAAATAATACTGCAATAAATACAGGGGTTCATAATCTTCTCAAATTAGTGTTTTCTTTGAGTAGATACCCAGTAGTAGAATTACTGAGTCATATGGTAATTCTATATTTTATTTTATTTTATTTATTTATTTATTTATTTTAATTTTTTTATTTTTTTTATTTTTGGGACAGAGAGAGACAGAGCATGAACGGGGGAGGGGCAGAGAGAGAGGGAGACACAGAATCGGAAGCAGGCTCCAGGCTCTGAGCCATCAGCCCAGAGCCCGACGCGGGGCTCGAACTCACGGACCGCGAGATCGTGACCTGGCTGAAGTCGGACGCTTAACCGACTGCGCCACCCAGGCGCCCCTCTATATTTTATTTTTTGAGGAACCACCACACTGATTTCCACAGTGGCTGTACCAGTTTACCTTCCCACCAACCGTGCAGTGTTCCATTTTCTCTGTATCCAATACTTGTTATTTCTTATCTTTTTGATGTTAGCCATTCTGACAGGTGTAAAGTAATAACTCATTGTGGTTTTGATTTGCATTTTCCTAATGGTTAGTGATGTTGAACATCTTTTCATGTGTCTGTTGGCCATATATTATGTCTTCTTTGGAAAAATGTCCATTCTGGTACTCTGCCCATTTTTAATCGGAATATATGTATATACATATATATACATATATATATATATATACATATATATATATTCCGATTAAAAATGGGCAGAGTACCAGAATATATATATATATAGGTGTTGAGTTGTATAAGTTCTTTATATATTTTGGATACTAAGCCTTCTTGGATACATCATTTGCAAATATTTTCTCCCATTTAGTAGGTTTTAGTCTTTTAGTTTTGTTAATGGTTTCCTTTGTTGTGCAAAAGCTTTTTATTTTGATATAGTTCCAATAACTTATTTTTGCTTTTGTTTCCCTTGCCTTAGAAGACATATCTAGAAAAATGTTTGCCATGGCCTAAACTTCTTGATCACTTTAGAAGGCAAGTAGGTCTTTAGAAGTGCTTGACTTGGAAGCATCCAGGCTCAGGATTACTAGAGTTCACTCCCAGCTCTGCTGCTTTCTAGCTATATGAACTCGTTCAAGTTACTTCTTAAATCTCAATCTCCTCATCAGTAGAAAGGTACTGATGAATACTATTAATAGTATTCTCTTCATGGGTCTTATGTGGTTTACACTAGATTACATGAGTTTATATGATTGTACTAGATCAGTGCTTCCCAAAAGAACATCCAGTGATGATGGAAATTTCTACATCTGCACCACTGAAATGTTCTCTATCTGCTATAGCCACATGTAGCTGGTGGCTGCCATATTGAATGTAGTGGCACTTTATTGTACTTACTATATCATTTTATATACAGTAAGCAACAAAATGTAAGCCATCACTCTTTTCTTTATTTTGTTGTGTAATTAGAAAATCCTATAATTTTCTTTTATGCATTCATAAAATTTTTCACAATTTTAATTGGAGGGTTTTGGAGCATAGTAAAAATCCAACTCATCATACTTTCTTATAATGGAAATATTAATTTTTTTAAAGTTCTACTTTAGTTAAGTTTATATTTCCATTCAAAATTCTCTGAAATTTCAAAATAATGCCAGTTCTTATAGGAAAACAAAGACTCTTATATGTTTGTCTATCCCAAGAGACTTAGGAGGGTAAAGGAAAACAAAACAAAAAAACTCTCTGTGAATATTATGAAATTATTGTGATGAGTAAAGAACTTTGATCATCTTGGTGACAAATACTAGACTATATTACAATGAGATGTTAAGGTATAGGTAGTATTATAATCTAAGATATGCTGATACTAAAAAGAGGGCCCCAAAGCCATTTTACATCTTGACTTAGCTAATATTAATAATAATAATAAAATAAAAACTAAAAACAAAAAGAAAGGATTGCTTGCATATTCTGGAAATGATGTTATTTTTCAGTGAAATGTAAGTTTATAGAATATACAATAGAGTAAAAATTTTAGGATTGCATTAAAACCTTATACAGTTGACCCTTAACACAGATTTGAGCTGCATGGTCCACTTACATGCAAATTTTTTTTTTTTTTTGATAAATACAGTACACTACTATAAATGTATTTCCTTTATGATTTTCTTAATAATATCTTCTTTTCTCTAGCTTACTTTATTATAAGAATACAGTATATAGTACATACAACATCTAAAATATGTGTTAATCAACTGTTTATGTTATCAGAAAGGATTCTAGTCAACAGCAGGCTATTAGTAATTAAGTTTTTGGGGAGTCAAAAGTTATACATGGATTTCTGACTGTGCACAGGGTCAGTGCCCCTAATCCCTGCATTGTTCAGGGGTCAACTGCACATCTAGCCTTGTTCATACATCTCATGGATAGCATTGATTTGGGAATAAGCAGTTTTATAATGGGGGGCCATTTTCTAAATCGTGTTCTTCACGTTCAGGGGACTGTTCCAGAATGTTTTTCCAATGACATTTTAGAGCATGACTTTCCCATAGATTATTTCTTTTACCTGGTCACTGCTTGGAAAGTACTGAATAAAAAATCCAAGAAGAGATCCAGTTGCCATACCAATTACCACCTCTAAAATTCCTCTGAGAACATTGAAAATTGTGGAGCCTTAAAAACACATAAAAAGAAAAACTTCAGGCAGAACTCTAAATCTGTAAATACTTAGACTTTAATTATCAACATAAAAAGCATCTAATTACATAGAAGGAAAGTTATACAGGTATTTCCTGCTCTCCACTTTCTTTAATATATGTGATGTAAAATGTCTAATAAGATGGGCCTATATTATAAGAAACCTATGCATATTATTGCAGATAAATTTCAAAATTGGTATAAACTATGATTTGTGCCCTTCTTTTATGCTTACATCAATAAAAGTTTACTTAAATGGCCTAAGAAAATATGAAAGAATAAAAATTCATGAACAGAGCTAATTTGTTCTACTATACTATAGGCACAGGCTGGGTGAGAAGACATATCTAGTTTTCATATTGCCAATTAAGAGCCTGATTTTTTACTGATAATTGATTATGGTAGCTTTGATATGTAAAGAATACAGTAACTTAAAAATTTGGCAGTTAAATCAAGAATCTTTTATTTTTTTAAGTTTTTAAAATGTATTTATTTATTTTTTTGTTTTTAGTAATCTCTATACCCAATGTGGGGCTCAAACTCATGACCCTCAAGGTCAGGAGTCACATGCCCTTCCAACTGAGCCAGCCAAGTACCCCAAGAATCTTCTTACTACAAGGAGTGTAGGGGACTTACTGTTTCTCAAAAGCTATTTCTAAAAGTAAATCTGAAAACAAATTACTAAAAAAAAATTTTTTTTAATGTTTATTCATTTTTTAGAGACACAGTGCAAGCAGGGGTGGGGCAGAGAGAGAGGGAGTCACAGAATCCAAAGCAGGCTCCAGGCTCTGAGCTGTCAGCACAGAGCCCTAGCAGGGCTCAAATTCACGAACCCCGAGATCATGACCTGAGCTGAAGTTGGACATTTAACTGACTGAACCACCGAGGCACCCCCAAAAACAAATTATTTTTGAAACTGCTCTTAGAAGAGCCTTTATTTGTTGGATTGCTTCTTTGAAGTATCATAATATATATATATAAGTAGACTTCTGTTTTCTTTCATGGCAAACAGAATTTAGAATACTTTAAAAAAATCTGTTAGCACATTGTACACAAAATCATAGTAAATTGCTCAACACATGAAGTCCTTCCTTCCACACTATTCAAAGAAAATATGTACTGGGGTGCCTGAGTAGCTCAGTTGGTTAAGAGTCCAACTCTCGATTTAGGCGCAGGTCATGATCTCACAGTTCATGAGTTTGTGCCCTGCACAGGGCTCTCTGCTCTCAGCACAGAGCCCACTTTGGATCCCCTGTCCCCCTCTCTTTTTGCCCCTCCCCCACTCATGTTCTCCCTCTCTCTCTCTCTCTCTCTCTCTCTCTCTCTCGGTCTGTCTCTGTCTCAAAAATAAACACAACATTTTAAAAAATGCAACTAGTATGTAGTTTCTTATTATTGTAGTTTAGGGTAACAATATGCCACACCAAGGTATGCCACTTTGGCATAAAGATGATTTTGAGCAGAAGGCAATTGAGAAGAAACAGAATCAAGAAAAGGTATCTATCTCCTCCTATTTGCCTAAAAGGAGAGCATAAACTTTTAAGGGCATAAATTTTTCCTCTACCAGAAGGACAGAAGTTAACCACTGGGACAACTTCAGACTCTTATCATCCCAAAGACAGATTCTACTAAGAGCATCCCTAGATACCATTGGTTACCCTATTTGCCTTTCCACAATTTGCTGCCTCTAAAAGTTCAAAGTTCTTTTCTTTTGTCTTGCATTTCACCAAAATTACTGTTTTTTGCTAAGATGTGATATATACATCACATACAGGTTTGAGTTGCATGGTTCACTTACATGCAAATTATATATATATTTATATACCAAATTCTAACCACCTCTTTGAGTTAGGCATCAGTGAGTAAGTACTCCCCTAGGTAAGCAGGGTGCACATGCTAACAACATGCACAACAGGGTGCACATGCTTTTCTCTTGTTAATTTGTCTTTTGTCATTCTGATTTACAGGGCACAGCCAATGGACTTAAGGGGGGTAGATGGGCAACAGTTTTTCCTTCCTTACAGTTTTAATCATCTCTCTTATTAAAAGAAAAAAAAAAAAAAGAATTACCTCTGTAGTAATTTTATTTAGCCAGAGCAGCTCTATGTTAGATAATGGTGTGACTGTCAGAAACATCTAGCTGTGACAGTAGCAAATGTCTCAAGCTATCACAATAAATAATTTACTATAAATGTATAAAAAGTAGCTAATTAGTTTCAGTCTCTAGTATGTAAGGGAAAAAAAAAAGACTTCTTGGACCCACCTCTAAAAATTCTGATTCAGTAAGCCTGGCAGGGCTTGGGATCCATATTTTAAAGAGGCTCCTGGTAGTTCCCATCCAAAACGTCTAAGGACCACATTTAGTGGAGCAGGGCAGAGGGAACACAGCATTGTTGACTAGGAAAGTTCTTTAAACTATCCATAGCCCATACTCCCCAGATTATGAAACCCCATAATCTCTTATACCCTCCCTCTTACCCCCTCATCCCTCTTCTTCTCCTCCCGTGTGATTCTAATGCAAACTCTTGCATAAATCTGGTTTCTATTCCCAAAGGTTCTGATTTAATTGGTCTAAGGTAGTGCTCATTTACAAGTATTTTTAAAAATTCTCCAGGTAATTCTAGTATGCAGCTGAGGCTGAGAACCATGGTTTCAAAGGTGTATACCAGGAAGGCAGTGAGAACATAAGTTTGGATAGGTACAGTAAAATTAAAGTAAAGACAAGGGTGTAGATTTGACCTAATAGGTAATAGAGAATCCTCACTGGTTCTTGTACCAAAAAGTAATACTATGAGAGTCATGTTTTGACAAGGTTAATTTACCAGTGATGCACAGCAGTGTATGGAGGGTGACCGGATATAAGGAACTTGGGGCAGTGGGAAGAGTTGAGGTTCTAGGTAATCAGCCTAAATCCTGAAATGTTATCCCTAGATAACTATGGGAGTAGAGATATTGAGAACATATGACTTCCCAAGAAAATGTGTTCCACAATAATTGGAAGCTAAACTCACTCTACAATTACATTTTGTCAATCGCATGGGATCGCAAATCTTATTTCTGAATCTTGGACATGGTTTAAAAATAAACTTGTGCTGTGCCAAAGATAGTAAAAGTCTTAAATAATAGTGGGAGACAAAAAATGTTTTACACTCTTCTTTTATTACTGCTTAGCACAAAATACATCCATGTCAGACACTCAGTAAGGAAGTAAGATACCTGTGAAAAATCATTGCCATTATTACCCATAAAATGTTACAGAGAGCAGAAACTGTTCCTATTTTAGAAGAATGCTGTTCCTTTCACTTGGACTGTTCTGTGTCATTGTTGTCTTTGAAAAACCTACTCATCTCTGTGTGAAGTCTCCAAGATTGAGCTTTCTCAGAAGCCTCCATGCAAAAGCTATTCTAATCCTTTCTTAAACTTTGCTACTCTGGATCCCTGTCAATGCATTTACCAGACCATTGGAACAGTCCATGTCCAGAGGGTGAAGGGAGTAAAATAAGCTACTGGTCCCTCCTCAGGTATAGAACTAACCTGTGGAGTTGGTTTCTCCATTTTAATCTGCCGTATTCAGTTATCAAGCAAATATGCCCAGTTTGTAACATCATAATCTATGTCTCTGTAGCGCAAGGGAACAGCACATCGTGAACTGACCAGTTTACCTGTGGAAAAGGCCATGCCCAAGCATGTGTTGAAGCCAGTGATAGCCAGAATATCATCGAAGCTGCCAGCAGCCATAAGTAAGGTTGGGACGCCTTTTTCAACTCCATAGCCTCCTTCCTGCAAAAGGAGCATTGAAGGCACTACGACAGCTGGAGATACAGCACCTAAAACAAAACTAAGTAGGCAGCGCTTTAAACATTTGTGATAGCAGCTTACTCATTATTATTATTATTGTTGAAATTATAATAACATCTACTCTTTTAGAGGTTACACTTTAGACAACTACTGTCTTTCAAATAGCAGTGAAGCACCAAACTGGAAACACACACACACACACACACACACACACACACACACACACACACACACAAGTTCTACAGAACACTTTTTGAAAGTGTGGCTACAGACAGCCTATATTGGAACCACTTAGGTTGCCCCGAAATATATAGTTATGGGTGGCACAGAAGACCTAATGGGATTAGGTTGCAGGAATCTGCCTTAAAAAAAAAAAAAAAGATAAATAAATAAAAAAAAAAAAAAAAAAAAAAAAAAAGCAAGCAAGCAAGCAAGCCAGGGCAACTGCATGGCTCAGTTGGTTGAGTGGTTGAGTATCTGACTTTGGCTGAGGTCATGATCTCATGGTTCGTGGGTTCGAGCCCCATATCAGGTTTGCTGCTATCAGCACAGAGCCCACTTTGGATCCTCTGTCCCCTCCCCCGTTTGCTCTCTCTCAAAAATAAACAAAACATTAAAAAAAATGAAGATGAAACATTTATGGTATGAGGTTTGAAAAACACAGCTGCAGGCTTTTTAAATTGGAACTGACTGATATTAGGCCTTCTGTTGGGACTTGGTAGGTAGAATAAGACCACAGATTAGAAGAAGCCCATAATGGCAGTGACAGTGATACTAACACTAGCAGCAGCAGTAACAGCAGAAAACATTTTACAGTGTTTACTATGTGCCAAACACCATTTTAAGTGCTCTACATAAATTAACTAATTTAATCCTCACAACAACTCTAAAAGGTAGCTACGATAATTGTCTTCATTCTGCAAATGAGGAGACTTCATTCTTGCAAACGAGATGCAGAGAGATTAAATAACTTGCCAAAGTTCACATATTGGAGTCACAGAGCTGGGATTTAAATCCAGGCAGTATAGCTCTACCGTCTTAACCAGAAGTAAGGATTTCTTGCTTCTTGCCTACTAATTAGTACTAAATTCTTACTAAGTACTTTCATAATTATTTTCTTTTTTTGATATTTATTTATTTTTGAGAGACAGAGAGAGAGCATGAGTGAGTGAGGGAGGGGCAGAGAGAGAGGGAGACACAGAATCTGAAGCAGGCTCCAGGCTCTGAGCTGTCAGCAGAGAGCCCAACATGGGGCTCGAACCCACGAACTGTGAGATCTTGACCTGAGCCGAAGTCAGACACTTAACCGGTGAGCCGCCCAGGCTCCCCTTTATTTATTTACTTCTTATGGCTGTTCACCATTAGAAGAAATGGCAGTGGAAGGAAGAGACAGCAGAACCACCCAATCATAACTGTCTGGTGACAAAAGAAGGAGAAAAGAGTGTTAGGTGTTCATTACTGTTGATATGTTTATTACCCTTTGTATGGACTTTTAGGTGAGATATGGCATCTCTCTCACCAGCATGGAATAAGGTGTAGGTAAAACACCATTAATTCTTCAACTGTTTAAATCATAATGCCTGTAAAAGTTAGATGTATTCTATAAATAGTATATTTTGAAGTTATAATATTTAGATTACGCTGGAATATCCATGTTGTATTTTCTGATGTCCTTAAGAAAATGCTATTATGCATTCTCTGGTATGGAATCAGAGAAAGCCCCAAACATCCCTGCATTGTTTTCATACGAAAAAGAAAAACCATTACCCCAGGATAAATCCCCATTGCCATGGTAAGCCCATTAGAAAGTGGGCCAGAAGTGCAGATGTGCATGCCTCCACAAGACAAGGACCCATGGACAGTCTTATACAAACACCCTTCAACTTCTTCAGGGCCTGAAATATGCAAGCAGAAATACAAAAACAATCATTTAAAGACAGAAAGAGATTATGACATCAGACGCTTTTCTTCAGTATTCAGACCATGTTTGGATTATCATGAATTTGCTAGGTAATGAGTTTTATTTAACAAACATTTCAGTGTTTGAAGTGTTTTGGAGATAGCTTATTTAGTCCTCATAGCAACACTATGATATAGGTGAAATTACTATCCCCATTATATTTAGATGTCCTCATCTAAAAAGATACAAGTTAAAGTCATTTGTCCAACATCATGAAATTGGTAAATTGTGCAGCTAGGTTTGAACTCAAGCAGGATGTTCTGTAGTCTGTGCTCATTAATCCCCAAAGTAGCTGATTTAACCCTCTCGGTGTTAGCTTTATTTATAACTTGTGGCCCCAGAATGAGGCCAGGGTGAAAACCTTCATCCCCAGGAACACTCATTCTCTCATTCAAAAATATACGTTAGTAAAAGCATTAAAAAAGGCATACTTGAGACTCGTCCTATGTATCAAGCAGTTTCTTAAGCTGTATAGTTAGCCTAAGCACTTGCATAAGGCTTTGCATGCCATAAATGTGCTATCCTCTCTCTAGCCTGTTATTTATAAGGATGACCTACATCTCTGTCAGAGAAAAGGGGAGCCTTTATTGTTAGTGCTGTCCCCAGACAGCAATTCCACCTTCCTCCAAGAACGAATATAGGGTCATCTTCTGGGAATAGTCGGTCCTCCATGAAATAAACTCCATTCTTTTCTTTAAAAAAATTTTTTTTAACATTTATTCATTTTTGAGACACAGAGAGAGAGCGCAAGCGGGGGTGGTGTACAGAGAGGGAGACACAGAATCCGAACCAGGATCCAGGCTCTGAGCTGTCAGCACAGAGCCTGATGTGGGGCTCAAACTCACGAACTGTGAGATCATGACCTGAGCAGACACTTAACCAACTGAGCCACCCAGGCCCCCCTCCATTCTCTTCTTTAGACTGTCACAGTGCCTAAAGCACGGTGATTCTGAATAGTAGCAGTACTGGAAGAGTTCAATTCCTAGTCAACAATTAGAAATTTATACTTCATACCTTTGAATCAAGCCCAAGGCCAGCACGAACCAATATGATAGACAGGGCTATGCTTCTCAAAGAGGAAGACCACTTATGCTTGATCTGTACATTATCACTGATGACAGGGATATTTCTGACAAGAAACCCAGCAAGAAGCATGCCTAGAATGGAGAAGTCAAACAACTCCTTAGTTGGTTTTCAAATAGAGAAGATATTTTTGGCATTTTTACTTTTTGAGTTCATGTCTCTTTAATATTCTTTTGTTTAACATTTTTGTTTAAATGGATGAAAGACCTAAATGTGAGATAGGAAACCATCAAAATCCTAGAGGAGAACACAGATAGCAACCCCTTTGACTTTGGCTGTAGCAACTTCTTACTAGACACATTGCTGGAGGCAAAGGAAACAAAAGCACAAAAGAACTAATGGGACTTCATTAAGATAAAAAGCTTCTGCACAGCAACGGAAACAATCAACAAAGCAAAAAGGCAGCCTATGGAATGGGCGAAGATATTTGCAAGTGACATATCAGATAAAGGGTTAGTATTCAAAATCTATAAAGAACTCACCAAACTCAACGCCCAAAAAACAATCCAGTGAAAAAATGAGAAGACATGAATCGATACTTTTCCATCATGCAGATGGCTAACAGATGCATGAAAAGATGCTCAATCTCACTCATCATCAGGGAAATACAAACCAAACCATGATGGGATACCACCTCACACCTGTCAGAATGGTTAAAACTAACACAAGAAACAACAGATGTTGGTGAGGCTGTGGAGAAAGGAACTGTCTTATGCTGTTGGTGGGAATGCAAATTAGTGTGGCCACTCTGGGAAACACTTATGGAGGCTCCTCAAAAAGTTAAAAATAGAACTACCCTATGATGTAGCAATTGCACTGCTAGGTATTTACCCAAAGGATACAAAAATATAGATTCAAAGGGTACATGCCCTCTGATGTTTATAGCAGCATTATCAATAATAGCAAACTACAGAAAGAGCCCAAGTGTCCACTGACTGATTAATAAATAAAGAAGATATGGTGTATATATATATATACACACACACACACACACACACACACACACACACACACACACAATGGAATATTAGCCATCAAAAAGAATGAAGTCTTGCTATTTGCAACAATGTGGATGGATATTATATATCCATATCCATAATATTAGTATATTATATATCCATATCCATAATATTAGTACATTATGCTAAGTGTAATAAGTCAGAGAAAAACAAATATCATATGATTTCACTCACATGTGGAATTTAGGCAACAAAACAGATGAACATATGTGAAGGGAAAAAAAGGGAAGCAAACCATAATACACTCTTTTTTTTTCTTTGAATTTTATTTTTTTTTCTTTTTCTTTTTTTATTATTTTAAAATATTTATTTATTTATTTATTTATTTAATTATATCCTAGTTAGCATATAGTGCAATAATGATTTCAGGAGTAGATTCCAGTGATTCATCACCTATGTACAGCACCCAGTGCTCATCCCAACAAGTGTCTTCCTTAATGCCCCTTACTCATTTAGCCTATCTACCTGCTCATAATTCATAAGATACTCTAAATGATAGAGAACAAATTGAGAGTTGATGGAGGGAGGTGGGTGGGGAGATGGGCTAGATGGGTGATGGGTATTAAGGAGGGCACTTGTTATGATGGGCACTGGGTGTTATATGCAAGATGAATCACTAAATTCTATTCCTGAAACCAATATTACATTATATGTTAACTAACTAGAATTTAAATAAAATTTTCAATAAAAAATTAAAATAATATACTATATTAGAGGAGCGAAGAAAAGCCTTTAAATTTTTTTTTTTTTCAACGTTTATTTATTTTTGGGACAGAGAGAGACAGCATGAACGGGGGAGGGGCAGAGAGAGAGGGAGACACAGAATCGGAAACAGGCTCCAGGCTCCAGGCCATCAGCCCAGAGCCTGACGCGGGGCTCGAACTCACGGACCGTGAGATCGTGACCTGGCTGAAGTCGGACGCTTAACCGACTGCGCCACCCAGGCGCCCCAAGAAAAGCCTTTAATATGCAAATAAAAATCATTAGAATCAGTAATGGAGTATTCAGATAGAAATGTGATCAAATTATAAATATAAAATGTTTTAATACAATGCCTAATTCAGTCACTCTTTTATGTGCAAAGTAAACAGCTCCTGAAGTTATTTGCTATGTCAGTTTACCTGAATTATCAACAAATACTTATGTGGATTCTATTTCACCCTCAAGCCAGGTAATTTAACAAAAAATACATAACTTGCGAGGCGCCTGGGTGGTTCAATCCATTGAGCATTCTGACTTTGGTTCAGGTCATGATCTCATGATTCGTGAGTTTGAGCATCGCTTCTGGTTCTGTGCTGACAGCACGGAGCCTGGAGACTGCTTCAGATTCTGGGTCTCCCTCTCTCTCTGCCCCTCCCTTACCTATGCTCTCTCTCTCAAAAAATAAACATTAAAAAAAAATAAAAAAAATAAACATGAAAAAAATAAACATGAAAAAAACATTAAAAAAAATCCTTGCTTTCCAAAGGCTTGTGAGTTATGAAGAAATGGACATTGCTCTGTCAGGTCAGCTTCTGATTCTTCTTTCATTCAGCCATTTACTGTTTACCAAATGCCTTCAGTATTTTAGACAGTACAGTAGGTAGTAGAAGTATAATAATGAACAAAAACTTGGTACTACATCTCAACAAGTTTTCAGCCTCTAGGGGAGTGAGATAAACTGACAACCTCAATTTTATGGAAGCATAAGGAAGTGTTGTATGAGTGAGAGAAGAGTAGTAAGTCAGAGGGATCCAAACAAGGGGAAGAACCGGGTGGAGAGTCAAGAAGTTTCTGGATGGGTTAGTAGTTTCTTCCAAGGTATGAAGAGAAGTATGACACATTCTGGGAAGTGTCAGTAGTTGACAGTGACCGAGGGAGCTGAGGAGTTTGCGAGAGAATCCTGCCCTCGCTGATACCACATGTCACTACAACAGGAAAGAGAGACTTCTCCACCAGACACTGGGCTTCCAGACTGTTCTTCTCTAGCAGTACCCTCTTCTCAGCATGACCTTACAAGCATTACACATTAAATGACTAAACAAACTTACTATTGTTGCAATGTTCTGTATGTAAGCTATGAGAATGGAGACTAATGACAAGCATAGCTTTTGTGACTTGCTCCAGACACCGCTAGGCCAGGAAGCATCACTGCCATTTAATCTAGAAGAAGGTCTCGTAAAGTTTTGAATTCTGCAGTTACGGTCTTTCCAGAATTTTTGAAAGTGGGAACTAGCCAACCACAGTTGTTTTTTTAAAGAGTAATAAGGATAACACATGCTCATGGTGAATTAAAACATCACCAACAAGTAGGAAGTGACAAGTACATGTTCTATTCCAACTGCAAACTTTCGATCTTCATTCTCCAAAGATTTTCACTCTTAAGGGTTTTCTTTGCCTTTCCAGAAAAGTTTGTATACCTATGTAAGCATGCCTCAGTATATGTGTTCGTGTGCCTCATTTTCTAATAGTAGAAATAGTATCTCATTGTTTGGAAGTACTGTAATTTTTTGAACCAATTAATGGACTTTAAGGAACTTTTCAGATTTTTCATTACAAATAGTGCTGAAATGAGCAGAGTTCAAAAGAAATAATAATCTAACAAGGACTCAAAAATATGTTAAGAGTTTCTTTTGGAGTTTTGGGGGGGGGGCGCAAGAGGAAGCATTTTTTTGTTCTCCAAATGAATGTGACAACAACTTCGCTGGGACACTGTTTCTGGATGGTCTGGATTGATATGGCCACCTGATACTGATCTGGCAGACGACCCCTTCACTCCTTTGTCAATGATGTGAGTGACTTACAATACATTGAGCCCTAGTTTTGTAGCATTTCTGTCTTACAGTTACTTCTACCATGGTTGATGTTAAGCTACCAACACGATGTCAATGAATGTGCAGTTGGGAAGAGAGAGCCAGTGGCACACCACTATATATTGTTTCCATAATTTCAAGAGCCTAGATAAGGAGAAAATGCCGTAAGTGATTAGTTTTGAGTATCTATTGGTTTTATTTTTAATGCAAGTTATTTAATTGTAAATATATATAATTTAATTTTAAAAAATGTCTGTGTTTAACAACTGGCTTACCAAACTCAAAATTTAATAATTGGCTTTTGGCTCCAACACATCAAATACAGAAATATTTTATATTTATTTCCCAAAGCTTCCCAAACTACAGTTTTTAAAATATGATTTACTCTTGAAGTCAGAAAGTATTTAGCACTTACCTAGAAGAGGAGGCAGTGGAGGTAATGTAGGTAACTTAATGAGCCCCAAAAGTTTACCTCCAATGATGGCACAATAGAATAGGATTATAATTCCAAATAGGTTTCCTCCAGGAAGACATTCGCTGGTAGTAATTGACCAAACTACAGCCCAGAGAAGAACAACCATGGTAACTGAAATAAACCAGGAAAACTAGTTTCTATCAGTAAGTTGTCATATGGTTTCAATATAATATAAAAATTTTAAAAATATCGAGCATACATACAAGTATTTATAACCATGTGTAAATTTTAGAAAGCATCAGTAATATGAACAATTGGGTAATAATTACCAACCATCTTAAGAAATAGGATATTACTAGTGCCTTTGGATCCACCCATGTGCCCCTCTTAATCCCATCTCCCATCTCCTTTCACACCATCAGAAGGAACTATGATCTTGAATTTTTTTTTTATCATTCCTCCTTTTTCCTTTATAATTTTACCACAAATATTCACTCATTAATAAAAAGGGAAACACTGGCTATCTTTACTCTCTTCATAGGAACATAATACCTGAATAATCACATTCTAGTATTTTAGTTCTGTCTTGAATTAAACACTATTATTGTTTCTTTTCTATAGTCAATGTTGGTTTAGAATTATCCATATACTCACCTATTTTCCGTTTTGATCATTATTCATTATGGCAACTCAAATTTTTTATCTGGGACAATTATTTTGTTGCCTAAAGTATTTCCTTTAATAGAGGTATTTCTATTAGAAGGTGAAACATGTTTCCTTGTTTGAAAACCTTGTGTTGTACTAAAGTTTACACTGAAACAACAAAGACTCATGGGAAAACAGTTGGGCAGACAACTCAAAGCTTAAATCCTGTGACCAAAGTATTGACAAAAACAGTAATGATCCTAATAAAAGTGCTAGTGCAGTTAAATCTCCACTGGCATTTGCATTTCACAGTCTCTTTTTGGCAGACCCAAACCCTTGGAACCACACGTATTATTTCGAGATGTAGAACCTTGAAAGCATTTGCTTTAAATAGTAAGCAGTTCTGTCCAAATCTGATCCAGATTATAGCTTTCTCCATCAATCAAATATTTGTTGTTGTTGTTTTAACTGAGGGAAAGTGTTGGCAGCTATTTTGTTTGTAATGTCAGCTTCTACATCCATATATGGTTTCATTAGATAGTTTAATGGTCTAGAAAGTTTAAAAAGCCTCTGAAACCCCTAAACCAGCAACTAACTGTCTGGAAAAAAAAAAAAAAGTACTTCTATAGGGAGTTCAGCTTTTTAAAAAGTCTTCATTTCGGGGCGCCTGGGTGGCTCGGTTGGTTAAGCGTCCGACTTCAGCTCAGGTCATGATCTCACGGTCTGTGAGTTCGAGCCCCGCGTCAGGCTCTGTGCTGACAGCTCAGAGCCTGGAGCCTGTTTCTGATTCTGTGTCTCCCTCTCTCTCTGCCCCTCCCCTGTTCACGCTCTGTGTCTCTCTCTGTCTCAAAAATAAATAAACGTTAAAAAAAAAAAATTTAAAAAGTCTTCATTTTAGTAAGGCTTTATCTTTAATTGTAAGGAATCATATATCTGACCTTTTTTGTCTGTTCTTGTTTTTCAATGTGTTTTGCATTCACATGCCATTGTTTGGTGATGTAAAATATTAACATGGCAGGAGAAATTATGTACAAATGCAAATTTTCATGTTACACTAACACAATTCCTCATTTACCATCATATATGAACTAATTCATAGTTCAGAAACAGTGCACCAGAGCATGCTATATTTCTCATGAAGATCTGTTGGTAACAAATTCTTAGTTTTATTGATCTGGAATTATCTTTATTCTCATTCTTAAAAGATAGTTTTTCAGGATATACAGTTCTAGGTTGAGAGTTACTATCTTCCAGTTCCTTTAAAATACTGTCCCTTGGTTTTCTGGCTTTTATTGCTGTTTTTAAGTGTCTTTTAGGAATTGTTTTTTTCCTTTGGCTATTTAAAAAAATTTTTTTAAATGTTTATTTATTTTTGAGACAGAGAGAGAGAGAGAGAGAGAGAGAGAGAGAGAGAGAGAGAGAGAACTAGTGGGGGAGGGGCAAAGAGAGAGGGAAATCTGAAGAGGGGAATCTGAAGCAGGCTCCAGGCTTTCAGCTGTCAGCACAGAGCCCGACATGGGGCTCGAACTCACAGACCGTGAGATCATGACCTGAGCCCAAGTCGGACGCTTAGCCGACTGAGCCACCCAGATGCCCCTCCTTTGGCTATTTTTAAGATCTTTCTTTTTCTTTGGTTTTCTGCAATTTCAGTGTGATCTGTTCAGTACTTATGTTAATTTCCATATGGCTTCCTTTTAGTTTGCTTAGGATTTATGTTTTCCATCCATTCTGGAACATTCTGTCTTTATTTGTTTAAATATTTCCTCTTCCCTATTCTTTTCCCTGTATTTTTCTGGAACTATGATTAAAACATTGAACAGTCACAGTCTCTTCTCCATTTGGGTAAGCTCAGTTTTCATATCGTCCATTTTTTTTCTGTGTGTACTGCACTGTAATCTCTTCAGACCTATTTACTAGATTACCAATTTTCTTTTCACTTAATCTGCTGCCTAATCTACTGAGTTTGAAATTTCAATTACTTTATTATATCTTTCATTTCTAGAAGTTGGTGCTTATTGAAATGTGTTCATTTTTGTAAATAGTTTCTTGTTTTATACTTATATTTGTTACCTCCTCTTTAATTTCTTCATAGTTATTGAAAATATTTTATATTTTATTTTCTGATAATGCAAATTTTTGAAACGTGTTTCCTTGTGCATGTTGTGACTTTTGTTTTTGTTTTGTTGCTTTTGTTTTTGGCAACAGTGAGCTCTTCCCTGAAACTTAATCTTTGGGAATTGCTGAAGTTGAATGTCAGTTTTCCCAGATAGGATATGAATTTGCCCCTACCATGTGCTTACAATCTTCACAATCTGGGACTACTTTTAGATATATTTTCAGCTTGACGTTTTTTTCTGTGACTTTGGAACACAGATCAGCATGAAGTTACACATATTTAGTGGAGACTCTTTTCTTGCCCAGACAGCACTACAGTTCAGACAGTCAAGTTTAGCTGTGGGTCCCCTCTGCAGGGCAGGTTTACCTCAAATTCATCATTACATTGGGTTCCAGCTTTGTGTGGGTGAGAAGGAATGATTTCTCCTTTTTCTCCCAACCTGGGCAGGCCCACGCATAGCCTCTTATACTCTCATGGTTCTCAAAATGAATCTCAAGTTCACTGGTGTTTTGCAGAAGCCCCAGAGCGAAAGCCAGCTTGAGTGCTTATTTATCTCTCCTAGTCATACTGTTTTTAGTGTCTGATGATTTCCTGTTTTCTTGACAGATAAAAGGTATATTTAAAGAGACTTAAACTACTGTTTTCATTGACATAAGTGAGAGGGCTGTTCATTGAATGTCATCCACCCCATTGCTAGAGATCAAATCCAATGTCTCATTTTTTAACCCTTACAGAATTATTACACATTTTGTAGGCTGTGATGCTATGAAATAACTAAAGCGCCTTCTATATCTTCCAGTTGGGTAGAGAAGCTGAAATTTCTATATAGTATGGGAAGTGTAATGGGATAGTAGGAATTGTAAACTACTAAATTTTACTTTATCATAGCACAAAATCAGTTTTGTACAAAATTCAGAAAGGTAGAATTAAGTTTTCCACTTCAAGACCACTTTTCTTTTAAACCTCTAACATTCCTTTCCTTTTTCATATTCAAAATGCAGTTCTAAATAAATAGTAAGTGTATATTTACAGGGTTTCTCTAAATCACATTTAATTCAGTTAGTAATTTACTTCTCATTTGGAAAATCAGATTTACTTAAGAAAAATATGTAAATATACTGAAGTGATACAGGAAGGAGTATAGGAAAAAAAAAAAAGAACAGTCTTGTAAGCCTAAGCAACAGAAGCACAGGAAAACAAGTGAAGAGGTGTTTATATATTATGAGTTCCCATTTATCAGGCACCTTTATGGACAATGATCATAGAATTTTTAAAAAATGACTCTGTGGGATACCTGGGTGGCTTAGTCGGTTGTGCAACCAACTCTTGATTTTGGCTCAGGTCATTATCCCAGGGTCATAGGATCAAGCCCTGTGTCTGCCTCTGCACTGAGCATGGAACCTGCTTAAGATTCTCTCTCTTCTGGGGCACCTGGGTGGCTCAGGTTAAGCGTCCAACTTCGGCTCCGGTCATGATCTCACAGTCCCTGAGTTGGAGCCCCGCGTTGGGCTCTGTGCTGATAGCTTGGAGCCTGGAGCCTGCTTCAGATTCTGTGTCTCCCTCTGTCTCTGACCCTCCCCCCATTCATGCTCTGTCTCTGTCTCAAAAATAAATAAACGTTAAAAAAAAAATTATTTTTATAAAGATTCTCTCTCTTCCTCTCCCAGTGCCTGTCCCCCACCCCCTTTCTCTCTAAAAATAAAAAAAAAAAAAAATTAAAAAATGAGTCTCCAAATCACATCATTCATTTACACCCTTTCCCTAATACAATCACTATCTGTTTTACTGTAAATGTTTTAACTAGAAATGTGCCATGATTTGAATGGTGAAATTTCAAAAAAATAATAAATAGGACAGAAAAGGTATTAAATTATATGTTGTCTTATCAACTGGTATATATTTTGGAACCTGTTTTTCTCTACATTTTTTAAATAAAGTTTGAGATTTTTTTCTCATGCTAGTTTACAGACTTACCTAATTTTATTAAAAACATATGTAGAGCCTAGAGTATAACTGGGCTTCAACTGTCCCAGTTGAGAATGGTAAAAATGTTTTTCAGAGCTCACAAATGAAGTATAACAATAACTGAGTCTTATTTTTTAGTAAACACAACTTTTAGACCAAATGTATTATATTCTTCAACATATTTACTTTGGGAAGATATATATTTACTCTAGTGGTGCTGTCGCTCCTCAATATCATTTTGAAATTGTCTTCAAATTCTCATTTATAGGGTGCCTGGGTGGCTCAGTCAGTTAAGTGTTCAACTCTCCGTTTTGGCCCAAGGTCATGATCTCATGGTTTCATGAGTTCGAGCCCTGTATCGGGCTCTGTGCTGGCAATGTAGTGCCTGCTTGGGATTCTCTCTCTCCCTCTCTCTCTACCCCTCCCCCACTCGCACTGTCTCTGTCTCTCTCAAAATAAATAAATAAACTTAAAAAATTAACAAAACGTCAACATTTATAGACAATTTTCAAAGCTCTTCTTTTTCCTACTACATTTCCTCCAATGTACAAAATACACACACTTCTCTCTCTCTCTCTCTCTCTCTCTCTCTCTCTCTCTCTCTCTCACACACACACACACACACACACACAATTTCCTTTCTGAACAAAAAAACAGGATTACTGAATCTGAATATCCATCTATTCTTCAAATTGATATCATAATAATGTTTGGCTCCCTCCAAAAACCAAATCCATTCCTCAAAGACAGTATGTGAAATAGTGCTGAGATAAACTCCCAAAGAAAAGTCCTCCAGGGGTGCCCGGGGTGGCTCAGTTGGTTAAGTGTCCAACTTCAGTTCAGGTCATGATCTCATGGTTTGTTGATCTCATGGTTTGTGAGTTTGAGCTCCACAGTGGTCTCTCTGCTGTCAGCACAGAGCCTGCTTCAGATCCTCTATCTCCCTCTCTCTGCCCCTCCACTGCTCATGTGCTCTTTCTCTCTCAAAAATAAATAAAACATTAAAAAAAAGAAAAATCTCCCAAATATTTTAGGTAATAGTAGTTGTACTGGAGTAAGTTGGATTGGAAACCAAGATTCTTACAAAATGATGGATTCATTTGGAAGCATAAATTAAGCTGTTTGTTCAAACATTAGTTGCATTACTTAATAGCGATTAAACCCAACATTTATGCAGTGCCTTTCTGTTTACAGGTGATTTCTAATTTTTCTCATTGGAGGCCTAATGTAATCCTGTGAAATTATTCACAGACAGAAAAGGAAAATGTCTTTGATCTCTGCTCTTTTCCTGTTAGCTGGAATGGTAGTAGCAATAGCACTCTAGTTTTTATGTATACAGAAGTAAACTTCTTTTTGTTCTTTAAACCATATTATTTTGGAATCTCTCATTAAAACAATTTCATCTTTTACCGTCTCTTTCTGAATTATTTTTTACCATTTACATACCATTTGTTATCCCTCTAGCCAGCAAGCCATGTGGAGGGCAAGCAAATGTTTGTCCTAGTCTTCGCAAATTATTTGATTCAGTTGGTATTTCTTGTAGCTTTTTTTCACTGCTATTCAGGAGGTTACTTCCTTCTGTTGGTTCGTTTGCATCTATTCCTTTAGAGTTCATAACTGCTTCCTCCTGTGTTTAAAACAATTTAATAATACTTAAAACGGTTATATCTGCTGTACATTTTTATAGCTATTGAGTCATCAAATCACAAATCAAATTTTTACTGCTAGAATCAAGGCTAACACTTTATAGTGGAAATGCAGAGCTATACTAATAGCTAATCAGTGAATGCTTGGAACAAGAATTATGTTAGAGGAATATTTACCATTGAGTCACTATTTGTAGCATTATAAATCCTTGGGGTACACATACTATTTCATTTTGTTTTACAATACTGGGTTTAAAAATTAGCCTACTTAAGATATTTTTCAAGGCAATAGTTGGTTAATATATTAAAGTGGTTCAGAAAAGATAACTATTTGTGGTAAAAGTGAATTAAAATTCATTCATCTACTTGAATTTAAGCAATAAAAAGGGAGGGAAGTAATCACAACCATTCTAGGGGTGAGGCTGGGAACACAAAGCATTTCACAGGCTCTCTATTTTTCCAGCCTCGTGTAGGGCCAGCTGCTAATGAATCTGGGAAAACTGGTAGTCACACCTACTGTACAAATTTGGGGATTAAAAATGGGAAGAACTGTTAATTGAGTGATAGAGCATGAAGAGAACACAACTGTATCAGAGATTTGGAAATATATAGTCCCTCTCTTAAGGAAATGGTTGGAATGCTCTATATTTGATCGTAGGTTTACCTGTGTTTCTTGATATGTAGAGGCTGTGTGGTCCATTCCTGTGTATGGTGTCAAATCTTCATGTTCAATTGCTTTATCTTCATCTTCCATGATTTATAATTAAAAATAAGATGACACAAGGGAGAGGAACGGGAACTGTTTCGAAGGAGAAATAGTACAGATATGTAGCATCAACTTGAGATTTATATGAATGAAGCAGTAATTTGAACAATTTAAATGAATGAATTGTACTTATTTTTTCCCTTGGAACTCTGAATGTCTAAAATATTTTAAATTAGACTATTCTTAACTTTCAATTTCTAACCTTTTCTTTGATTACAATATGTTATACTAATTCTTATTTACATTCTGCTTCTCCTGAAAAAGCCCTTGTTTATCATATTTTTATATGATGTCTTTCCCACCTTGTTTTCTGAGTTATATTTCAAATATTCCAAGCAATACTACTGTTAAATCGTTCTCTCTAATGGTCTGGCTTGATGAAACAGGAAATCTCCAGGCAATTTTTCTTTCTTTTTCTCTTTCTTTCTTTCTTTCTTTCTTTCTTTCTTTCTTTCTTTCTCTTTCTTTCTTTTCTTTCTTTCTCTTTCTTTCTTTCTTTCTTTCTTTCTTTCTTTCTTTCTTTCTTTCTTCTTTCTTTCTTTCCTTTCTTTCTTAATATAATTTATTGTCAAATTGGCTTCCATACAACACCCAGTGCTCATCCCAACAAGTGCCCTCCTCAATGCCCACCACCCACTTTCCCCTCTCTTCCACCCCTATCAACTCTCAGTTTGTTCTCTGTATTTAAGAGTCTCTTATGGTTTGCCTCCCTCCCTCTCTGTAACTTTTTTCCCCTTCCCCTTCCCCAAGGTCTTCTGTTAAGTTTCTCAAGATCTACACATGAGTGAAAACATATGGTATCTGTCTGTCTCTGACTGACCTATTTCACTTAGCATAATACCCTCCAGGTCCATCCACGTTGCTGCAAATGGCCAGATTTCATCCTTTCTCATTGCCAAGTAGTATTCCATTGTGTATATAAACCACAATTTCTTTATCCATTCATCAGTTGATGGAAATTAGCCTCTTTCCATAATTTGGCTATTGTTGAAAGTGCTGCTATAAACATTGGGGTACAAGTGCCCCTATGCATCACCACTCCTGTATCCCTTGGGTAAATTCTTAGCAGAACTATTGCTGGGTCATAGGGTAGGTCTATTTTTAATTTTTTGAGGAACCTCCACACTGTTTTCCAGAGCAGCTGCACCAGTTTGCATTCCCACCAACAGTGCAAGAGGGTTGCCATTTCTCCACATCCTCGCCAGCATCTATAGTCTCCTGATTTGTTCATTTTAGCCACTCTGACTGGTCTGAGGTGGTATCTCAGTGTGATTTTGATCTGTATTTCCCTGATGAGGAGCGATGTTAAGCATCTTTTCATGTGCCTGTTGGCCATCTGGATGTCTTCTTTAGAGAAGTGTCTATTCATGTCTTCTTCCCATTTCTTCACTGGATTATTTGTTTTTTGGGTGTGGAGTTTGGTGAGCTCTTATAGATTTTGGATACTAGCCCTTTGTCCAATATGTCATTTGCAAATATCTTTTCCCATTCTGTCGGTTGCCTTTTAGTTTTGTTGATTGTTTCCTTTGCAGTGCAGAAGGTTTTTATCTTGATGAGGTCCCAAAAGTTCATTTTGCTTTTAATTCCCTTGCCTTTGGAGATGTGTTGAGTAGGAAATTGCTGTGGCTGATGTCAAAGAGGTTGTTGCCTGTTTTTTTCTCTAGTGTTTTGATGGTTTCCTGTCTCACATTTAGGTCTTTCATCCATTTTGAGTTTATTTCTGTGTATGGTGTAAGAAAGTGGTCTAGTTTCATTCTTCTGAATGTTGCTGTCCAGTTCTCCCAGCACCATTTGCTAAAGAGACTTTTTTTCCATTGGATACTCATTCCAGCTTTGTCAAAGATTAGTTGGCCATACATTTGTGGGTCCAATTCTGGGTTCTCTATTCTATTCCATTTGTCCATGTGTCTGTTTTTGTGCCAATACCATGCTGTTTTGATGATTACAGCTTTGTAGTAGAGGCTAAAGTCTGGGATTGTGATGCCTCCCACTTTGGTTTTCTTCTTCAATATTACTTTGGCTATTCGGGGTCTTTTATGGTTTCATACAAATTTTAGGATTGCTTGTTCTAGTTTTGAGAAGAATGCTGGTGCAATTTTGATTGGGATTGCATTGAATGTGTAGATTGCTTTGGGTAGTATTGACATTTTAACAATATTTATTCTTCCAATCCATTGCTTCTTGGCCTTTTGGCTAAGATCAAGTGTATTCTTCCAATCCATGAGCATGGAATGTTTTTCCATTTCTTTGTGTCTTCTTCAATTTCCTTCATAAGCACTAGGCAATTTTTCAATGTTGAAATGAGTCGCCAAAGAAAAACCTATGGATTCCATCATTTTCAGAGAAACTAGAATCACTAATTCTTGTCTGGCTCATATTTCTAAATTAAAGTTAAAATAATAACATTGGTTGAGTAGCCACAATGTCTTAGACAACTGAGACATGTTGGTAGTCACTGTAGGTAATTCAAAGATTACAAAAACATATTTTTTGTTCTCTATAGGCTGACGATATACCAGGAAAAATAAACTTACATGAAGTCACTAAAAAACCTGTAGGACAGACCTATAGCTTGACTCTGTAAACTACTTCAATCTCCTCTCTCTTGGCTTCTCATGCTATATAGGCTGAACAACCAAATACTCCAATTCCTGGCCACTTCTGTAGCTATAGATAGCCATGTGTCGCAGTTCTGTGTAATGAGATATAAGTGAGAGTCCCTAGGGAGAACTTTCATTCCCAGACTATAAGGCAAGGCTTTTTGAAGATCATACTTTTATTCTTTGTCCTCTAACATTTCTCCTTCTTCTTCCTAGAATGTAGATACACTACCTGGAGGGCCAGTGACCATCTCTCAACCATGAGAAGAAAAAGCCCTATACTAAGGAGAGTAGAAAATTAAGATAGGAGGAGCTGGTTCCTTGACGATACCCTTTAATTGCTCCATCAGTCTTGGATGCCAAGCTTCAAGTTAATTGTTGAAGCTACTGTTAGTCAAGTGTTATTTTTACTAGTAATCAAACTTACTTCTAATGCAACAAGTATAATGATATTACAATAGAAGCACGAACTACAAACCCTGGTATAAGCAAAGGGAAAATTATGTGAGAGAAGGGAAAATCTAAATCAATACATTTGAGTGTCTAATATGTGCCATACACTATGCTAGGCTATAAAGATAAGGATTAATTAGACAAGACCCCTGCCTCAAGGAATAATTTTCTGTTTAAAAAAGTGCCAAGAGGGGCACCTGGGTGGCTCAGTTGGTTGAGCATCCAACTTCGGCTCAGGTCATGATCTTGCGGTTCATGGGTTCAAGCCCCACATCGGGCTCTGTGCTGATGGATCAGACCCTGGAGCCTGCTTCTGATTCTGTGTCTCCCTCTCTCTCTGCCTCTCCCCCATTCGTGTTCTGTCTCTCTTTGACTTTCAAAAATGAATAAATGTTAAAAAAAGTGCCAAGATGTTTGCATTTAATATTCCCAAGAAAATTATATCCTTTTTACCACTACCACCCTCACCATCACCATCATCACCATTTTTCTTCCTTACAAAATACAATGTTGGCCAGGGTGGTATCTCAAAAAACCTTCAGTTTGGTTTTTATACTACATATAATAAGTTCATGTACATATAATAATATATATGTGTGTATGTATGTAGATACAATTTTTTAAGTTTATAAATTTATTCCAAAATTTAGACTCATAATGAGAAAGAATGGCATTTTGATAGGAAAAATGTTGGGCTCAGAGAACCCTTGTCTTGAAGGTATGGAGGCATGGAATCCAGTGGGATGTCAGGGGAAACTTTGTTGGAGCATGAGGTGTAAGGCTGAAAGCAATGGCAAATGAAGTGGGAGAGCTAGGATATCATTTCCCAAACCATGGCACTTGCCCTTTACCCTATGTAGAGAATAACCCCCTCATATAGTAAGTGATGATCTGCTGGGTCTGGAGTTAGACAAAGCTGGGTCTGTAGTCTAGTTCTATTATATACCGAATTTCTTAGCCTCTTTGTAACTAATTCCTTATTTATAAAACGGAGATAAGAGTGGTTCCAACCATGCACCTGGTAAGCATTCAATAGTGTTGGTTATGAGCCACTCCTGTTCCTTCTCCCTACTTAACATAAATCTCTAAGATTCTTTTTGCCCTCCTTATTAAACAAGACAAGGTCCCCCCAGCCCCATGTTGAAGAATTTACTACTTAATCCCACTGCTTTTCTTTGATAATGCCCTTTACCTCTTTCTTTCAAGGCCAACTTCTTGATAAGGTGGGTGGAACACTCACCATTGTCAGTTCTTCACTTGTTCATTAGTAGAATCATATAGGAAATCTTGAGCAGTGTTACTAGAATCATCTCCTTTATCAAATTTCTAAAATCAGCCAATTCTGCCATTTATGAAGAATATTTTTAAATAACCAACAAGTATGAATGACTATTTCTAATAGCAACCATGTTCATGGCACTTACTGTTCATAGTCATTGAGTCTTGAAATTACAATAGTATATCCCCTACCAATAAGTTGGTTTCAGCAAAGAAATCAGAACATACACAAAAATTACCTTTTAAGGGGGATAAGATATATCATGAAGTCCATTAAAAAGTGGGGGAAGTTTATACTTCTTTTTTTTAATTTTTTTTTTCAACGTTTATTTATTTTTGGGACAGAGAGAGACAGAGCATGAACGGGGGAGGGGCAGAGACAGGGAGACACAGAATCGGAAACAGGCTCCAGGCTCTGAGCCATCAGCCCAGAGCCCGACGCGGGGCTCCAACTCACGGACCGCAACATCGTGACCTGGCTGAAGTCGGACGCTTAACCGACTGCGCCACCCAGGCGCCCCTGGGAAGTTTATACTTCTTATAGAGAAGCTCTCAAGTCCTCACTCAGAGCCCACTAACTTTTAAAACATTTCAAATGACTTGATATATATCAAGACACACACACACACACACACACACACACACACACACACACACACACACTGGAGTATTACTTAGCAATCAAAAAGAATGAAATTTTGC